GAGGACGTTTCGCGCGGAGGAACGTCTGCGACTCAGCGACAGAAATTCCATACTGATGACGTAAAATCTGTCCAGAATCCGGTCAGAAGCGCTGATTGGTCGACGGAGCAGTTACATTGTTTTAGCTATTGTTTACGAATGACAGACAAAAGACAAAAGGCCACAAAGGTCAAATTTAAACGCGATGAATCTCTAACAAAACAGTCAATATTTGTGGAATATAGTCTCCTCTAGAAGAAGCATTTGAGTTTTGCTGGAGCTCGTGGGCGGATCAACACAACACTTTACCAAAATCGACCAGAAGACACCCAAAATTAGACAAATTTATATTTGAAACCCCATGACTACCGGATTTATTATGTAAACATTGATTTGCGTCATCAGTATGGAATTTCTGTCGCTGAGTCGCAGACGTTCCTCCGCGCGAAACGTCCTCGGCGACGAAGAGCGAGGAGAAACGGATGTTTTCGCAGGCTAGGAGCCGATCGGCTCCTGACTTAGTCCACTGCGAAGACAGGCCGAAGTGAAAACAACGATTTCTCCATTTATAGCATCCCAGCTTGTTTTCTGCGCGTTATTATTTCAACGTCGCGGGTTGAAATAAGCAGAGTTAAATAAATTGAGGAAAACTGTTATTTTTTAATCATCATCTTTTATATATTTGCTTTTCTTTATTATTATGATTTTTATTTTTTATTGTACTGTATTTTATGTTTTTACCCTCGACGTTTTCAGGTACGCTCGTGCGTACCGTGCTCACAGGTAGCTACGCCATTGTGGATGAGTTTAATTCGCTTACAAGTGACACGTTGATAAGCCAACAACAGAGGCTGGAGGCATAATTATGGTATTTTCAATGCCTTTTATTTCTATTCTGTTTACTACATCTTAAGTTCTTTAAGTTGCTCATCATATGTCTTGAAGATCCAGGCTTTCCTTGTCTCTAATGGGATTTCTCTAGACCCTGGGTTTCTAAGAATAAATAATTAGTAACATTACTTTATCTAAACTCTCTTTGATGCAAGTAAAGATGGTCAATTCGGTAAAATTAAAAGTCAGATCATTCTTTAAAATCTACGATTACTCGCTCAGGGTCAATAATTACCTCTGCGTTAATAATACATACAAAGTGGGATTTAATCGGCCAGATGAGTGTAACCACTGACTGACGTGTGACTTACCTAGTCCGGGGAAGGGGGAGAAGGGAAACTGTCATATACGGGCTACATATATACCCACGGCTGTCAAGGGTATGGTTTTCAGAAAGTTTAATTCGGATCAAGGGGTATAGAAATCAGAAAATTTGGTTGACTGTAATTGACAAATTTGAATCTACTCTCAAATCAGTGTATCACAGCAACAGAAATGAGCACCCTATATTTTCTTGAAAAAAGCACAGGTTCAGTCATAGATTTCAGCTATAGGCTAAAGTTTCTCGACTACAAACGTCACCTCCCCACCCAAAGTACACTTCCCATCACCCCAGCCCGGTTCTGGGCTGTTTCATTTTCAGAGTCAATGTTTTGTTGTCAGTTTTGTTGAGTTCGTCCATAAGTCGTTTGTCAGGTGCGTTTAACCGCAAAACTGACGACAAAGTTCCAAGTAATTTCCTTTAAGCCACTTACTTAAGCAAGTTGCCTGGTAAGAAAGCTTCTGAGTCGTGCATGTATGTTATTCGATCTACTTATGATAATGATAATGATGGCGATAATGGTTATGATAATGACAATAAACATTAATAGGACTAAGTAAAAATTGTAGAAGCCATCCAGGAACCGCAATCCTAGAACTATTTCTATGCTAGATTATAAGAAAAACACACAAAAAACTCGTTTATCATAGAAGGTATCTTAACTGATAGCCATTGGTATTATTGGCCTTGCGTGCTTTTCTCCTTCCTCTTTGACGGCACCCTCCCCTACGCCAACATTAACTCTTACTTCTCGTTTAGAGCAAAATATTGGCTTAGGGGAGGGGTAGATGGGCAGATTCCAAGAAACCTAAAGTGATCCCGCTAATCTTCCCTAATCGCTTATCCGTAAGATCTTATGTGACCACGTGGCTTCACAAGGACACCGTCACACACCAAGTCGGTCTAGAAACTTGTATCGTAATCGGAAAAAAACTGTCCCACCTCCCTTATGCCGGACAACTATCTTAACACTCACTATAACTTCCTTAGCCCTGTGCGAATAAAGATTAGAAAGGAAAACATGCTCCGAGCTGTACAATTGCTGTTGAAAAATGATAGTTATTATACAATTAAATTATAATTAAGGTGAAAGCTTTCCCCGAATTCCTGTAAGGCTCAACAAAATAAGCCATAAATCTGGAGTTTTATACCAAAAACTGTTTCGCACCGCAGAAAGCGGACATGGGTTATATAATATAGATTTAGCCACAGCTAAAAGCGAAGCTCCTATTAATAAATTTATAACTTAAATCAAACAATAATTTTGCGTTCCACAAATAAGTTAACTTAAGGGCACATTCATGTGACTTTTGAGGGAAAAGCTAAATGATTTTGGAGTGAAACAAATCTTGTATCACGTTGACATAGCCTCATATGTACACCCAAAAAATAGTCTTCGGTCACATTTAAGAGCAATAATGGCTCTTGATCACAGTAGATAAGGCGTGGAAAACAAATTCTNCCCAAAAAATAGTCTTCGGTCACATTTAAGAGCAATAATGGCTCTTGATCACAGTAGATAAGGCGTGGAAAACAAATTCTTGGAAAACAAATCAGGCCGAATTTTTTGCGTTCGACAAGTTTACAAATTCTTCCCAATAAATCTGGGTGCGTGCAAACCATTCTTTTATTTATTTATTTATTTTATACTCCACATCTGAGGAGAAAGAGTACTATGAGCACTGTTTTTATCATACAGACGTCGTATAAAATGCAGTATTTCACAATTTTTCAAGACAAATTGCATTCATTCAATGCTCAGGACCATCGAGCACGCGTGGACTTTTAATTAGCGAAACCGTTCAAAAAATGTCCAAAATCACCTATACGGCCAGCCGGTTCTAACTTTTGACAAGCGCCAAATTTGCGAAGAAATTTTAAAAGAGTTACGCTTCAACGTGATAAAGAATTTTTTTTTAATGGTTTTATAACGACGTGTTATCTTAAAAAGCGTTTGATACGCTCGGCATTTTGAGTACTCCTGCAAGCGATGTTTATGAACGCCTGAAAACAAACAGCAAAGCGATGAAAATTACACTTTTCAGTGTGACTTTTGAGACTACCAACAATCAATAAAGAAATATAATTCGGTAGAACATTTACAGAGACAACAATTTTCATTCAAGAAAACAAATGAGTATTTAAGTGTCCCTAAGAATCCTCAAGTCTTTACTAGTAAGCTTAAAGATTAAGTTTATGTTTTAAGCCGCCGGTTTCCCGGTGTTTGCTTTTTTCATAGACGAACTCACGACAAGAAAATCGCTCAAGGCTTTCTTTCTACAGCCAAAATTATAACTGGTATTCTTCGGAAAGTTTTTTCTTTCTATTTACGGGGAATTAGTATCGACTAAAGGCTTTTTAAAGTTCTGTAAGCTTTTAAGCTTATATCAAACCTCATACTAGGTCAGATCTAGCCTGCGAAAACATCCGTTTCTCCTCGCTCTTCGCCGCTGGGGATGTTTCGCGAGGAGGAACGTCTGCGACTCAGCCACAAAAATTCCATACTGATGACGTAAAATCTGTCCGGAATCTGGTCAGAAGCGCTGATTGGTCGACGGAGTAGTTACATTGTTTTAGCTATTGTTTACGAATGACAGACAAAAGACAAAAGGCCACAGAGGTCAAATGTAAACGCGAAGAATCTCTAGCAAAACAGTAAATATTTGTTGAATATATTCTTCTCTAGAAGAAGTATTTGAGTTCTGCTGGAGCTCGTTGGCAGATGAACGCAAAAATTTACCAAAATCGACCAGAAGACACGTAAAACTGTACAAATTTGTATTTGGAACCCCATGACTACCGGATTTATTATGTAAACATTGATTTGCGTCATCAGTACGGAATTTTTGCCACCGAGTCGCAGACGTTCCTCCGCGCGAAACGTCCCCTGCGGCGAAGAGCGAGGAGAAATGGATGTTTTCACAGGCTAGGTCAGATCAGTGTCTCAGTCAAATCTTAATACAAACGTGCATAAACTAGCTTCATAAACTGCGCCGCTGGACTTCATGAAATAAGATACAATACAATAATTACTCAGGCTTACCATATTTCGAGATGCAGCTCCTGAAAGCTACCAGGTAAGGCAAGGATCGCTGGAGCCTTTATAATCCTTATAATTCTCGTACGCATCCAGCAAGGTGAAAAACAAACACGATGCCATCCGAAATCGGATTATCTGCTTTGACAAGCGACGCATTTCTCAACCAAAAACCCAATAAACAAGCCAGCCATGAATAAGAGAACACTCTTGATAGCAGCTGTATGTCATTTTTTACATCCAGTGGAAAAAGAAGTTAAAAACATCACAAGTTGACTCAAAACTCGGTCAGCTTCAGCTTTCAAAGTAAACAACTTTTAAGATGCTGCATAAATTTTACGCCTGAAAACACCTGTCAAATTTTAACCAATCAGAGCATAAAAATTGGACGTGGAGCGTGACCAACACGTGACCATGGTTAGAAAAGGTCTTCCCCAACTGTATTTTAAAAAACTGGCTGAATTTTTGCGTCTGAGGTCAGTTTGAAATCAAAATCGTATAGTGAGGAGCGATACTGACATAAACACAACATATTTGATATGAATTTTAAAAAAAGTAAACGTGAGTCTGCGATCATTTGAAAACGAGTAAATTGTCAGCGGATAACTTCAAAAAAATACTCGACCTCGATGGGTCGACACCTGAGCCCTCGATACGGTCAGGTGATACTGGTCAGCGGATAACCTGTTTTGACAGCTGTCAATTGATGACAAGTAAACGTGAGTCTGCAATCATTTGAAAACGAGTAAATTGTCAGCGGATAACTTCAAAAAAAAATACTCGACCTTGATGGGTCGACACCTGAGCCCGCGATACGGTCAGGTGATACTGGTCAGCGGATAACCTGTTTTGACAGCTGTCAATTGATGACAACATTGGTGTGCAATCAGCTTTCTCCTGGGCTCCCAAAGTAACTAGAAAGTGTGAGAGTAAATATTGGTATGCCTGTGGTGCGGACGGACGGGCAGCGGGAGGGCGGGCGGACGGTGTACGGTCACGTGATTACCAAATTTTCTGGGATGGGTAGATTTACTTACCCATGGTGCTCGGCAGGCGCGCTTTGCGCGCGAGAGCTCCGCTAATATATTTTGTTTTCACAATCCTATGGAAATGACGTCATCAGTTACCCCAATAGTGTCTTATTTTTATATTTATTTCATTAAGTACTTATTTATTTATTTATTTATTTATTTTTGAGATCGACCTTCGACTTTGTTTACACGTACCTTTGTGATCCACCAAATATAACCAACGTTACTTGAAGTCAAACCAAAGGTGGTTACTCTCTTCGGACTCCACCCTCCAGTTGACTCTACCTGAGGTTGTATCTGTCTATTGCACCACTTGTTACCCGACGAGTCACAGCCCCATTTACTGCGGATCCTGTAAAGATATTATCTAAGTCTATAAAAAAAAGTCAGCCAATATTATATTTGGGCCCTCAAAAGGCCCATGTGTGTATACTAAAACGTTCTAGAACATGTGAGTATACAGTTGATAGACAGGGCCATAGGAGAGAAAGAGTTGAGGAATAAGAAAGGACAATGGATGTATAAATTAAGAACGCTTCGCCCGGCCTCGGGACTTAGGGCTGTCCATAAGTTGCTCGGCAACTTTTGAGCAACTTTCCAGATTTGGAGCAACTTGTCCTTCGAGCAACTTTTCGGATTTCGTGCAACTTTTTTCTTTTTAGAATAACTTTCTAACTTTTTTAAGGCAATTTGTAACTAAAAACCGCCCATTCAAGTTCTAATTTAAACAGACGGGACTTCCTGAAGATGATGATTTTTATGGCCAGAACAGAAAGACCGGTGTGGGCGTGCGCAAGGGATGACGTAACATTTTCGTTAGGCTTTTTAAAATAGGCAGTCATTTCAGTTGTGTTACACGTGCCTTGCCTTGGCAATTCAGCAATTTAAAAAGTGATCTACGTTTCTGATACGCTAACAGCTAGTTAGTCACCCTGAAGATCACTGAATGTGATCTAACTGATAGGTGGATAAAAAAGGCGGTTTGATTGTAATTGATTTACATTCGTGGTTATGAGTACGGGAGAGAGAGATGCTTGTGAAAATTTCCCGGACTTAGTTACCTCTTTTGATGAACGCCGTAGATTTCCCAAAGATCTGCGTCGCCCTCCACTGTCAGTCTGCTTCTGTCCCCGGATAATGTGTCAAACGACATGTACTGACCATAGTAGTCGTACTTACGACCTCCGTAGGTGTTGACAACTGTATAGAGGTGGTTACCATGGGGGATGAGTTTCCAAAAGCAGCCTTCATTGTAGGGAGTGATGTAAGGATGACCGCCCTCCATTAAGCTGTCATGACTTCTAAGCCAAGTGATCGGCAATTCCCTTTCACGAGAAATGGCTGGCGTTAGACACCATATTCCTGCCATGGAACGATCGTAATCTGGTATTTTCAACACAGCGGTCATATAGGCATCTGTTACTGGGTTCACATCTGGGTCAAAGTAATTCACCGCCATCTTATTATGACTCTTATCGAAACGACCAGCACGAAGAAATTGAATGAGGTTCTTTTGCTGAGCGCGTAGAGCGATCTGAGCGGCAAACAAGGATTGTCGGTTGGGTTCAAGCTCGTCTGGCAACAAAGTGGCCACCTCCTGCATAATCACGTCCTTCAGAACTGCCATCTTTGCATACAGCTCGATGTATCTCAATGTCTTTTTTGCCTCGTTTCTCTTATTAGCCCGAAGAAGGCGTTCTATCTCACTTGACAATGTTCCCATAAATTCAAGGCCAAGATACAGTGGCACGTTCCTCTCAAGAGACGCTGCTTGGGCTTCGGTTAGCTTATTGCCTGACTGAGCAAGCCTATCCACGTATGCCTTCGAAACGTCGAATGTTTTAGCGATACCTCGAGCCTGATTACTGAGGTCCTGCTCGTAAAACTGAGCCAATGCCTCGTCTATTTCTTCTCTTACGATTTGCCCGATAGATTTCTTTTTCTTTCCTCCTATTCCAAAAAGACTCAGAAACCCAGAGACGAAGCTCAAAGCTACGGCAACAATTTGTCCAGTGGGACCAGCAAGTGCTGCAAACTGACCGACCATATTGAGTGCTCCCTGTACTGCACCTATGGGATCGTCTCCTGCTTTAGCAAACTTGTCAATGTTTGAGGCAGCGGATTGAAGGGTCTGCGTCATAACCGCTCTGTCTCCGAACGAAAGCGTATTCCATTTTCCCTTTAACGCAGTCAGACCTTTCCTGGCGCCCGTGGCTTTTGATCCCAATGTCCCAAAGGCATTTTTCAGTGTGTTGAAAGGGCCACTTGGAACTAGATGGAGGGCAGTAAAAGAAAATAGCCGAAGTGGTCATAATGGTTAAGATAAGTAACTTTTAAGGACTTTTTGGTGATTTGAGAGATCAAAAAGGGAGTGAGGGATACAAACAAACCGTAAAGAAAAAACACGTGATAGAGAACATTAAACGAAAAAGAAATAGAGGGACAAAGCACCTAACAAGCACTTCGCTCCTAAAACTCCTAAAAGGAGTTTAAAGAACTCTTTTTCAGGAGTAAAAATAACCCAAGATATTGAGGAGTTAAAATAACCCCAAAAGAGGAGTTATCCTGTACCAAAAGACTATAAAGGGGACAGAGAGGGCAGCCCCATATACACCCTATTCCATAGGTAATTCGTCTCGAGTTATTTTTAACACCACAGATCTCAAGGGGGATTAGACAACAGCAAATCTCATAGCGCGAATGTGTTCCGCGTGGATGACCCACGCTGAGAGCCACGCGTCCTTCACGAAATGACGCAGAACAAAATAGAGGAAGACGCGGAGAGCGATTTTGCTATTCCTTTTGTCGACGAAAACGACTACAGCGAGATTTCTTCGAAAGCTGTGTCAGCGAAACCGAAATTAAAGAAGAATCGCCCTTCCTCTCTTGTATAGAGCTAACAGTAGAGCAGGGAAATCCTTAACTCACTGAATATTCTCTCAGGATCATTTATAATTTACAGTTTGAAGAGAGCAATTTCTGGTTTGATGTTTATTTTTTTCAGTCTTTATAGCGATTATTCCTACCCACTTACTTTGTCAATTGTAGGCGAACCCTCCTAAAGCTGAATTTCAAGGGACCATATTCAAACTCAGAAAGAGAAATAAAATTTCGTCGTTGCTTATTTACGTCCTCCATAAAAAGCGAAATTAGGCATTTTCACGTCGTAGTCGTACAAAAACGGGAAAGAAATGAACACGAAAGTGTGTTGCACGTGCGAAGTTGTTGTTTTGCTAATTAAACCTATTGTTTTTTTGACGTTCTAGTTGTCGCCCGCGTCGTTGGATCTTAAACTCCCTAAATTGTACAAACGACTGGTTTCAATAGACCGGCGAAATTTCTCATTTTATTAAAGCACTGAGGTTACGACAACTTCGAGTTTAACTGATTTCACGGGTTGTCAAAGAGTCCAGCGATTCCTTTTTCCCAGGTGAGCGCCGACTCATTTCGCTTCAATATTCAGGAATGCTCTCGATCTTTTTACGCTTTCATTGCCTCTCGCCCGACATGTTTTGCACGGCGTTTGGTTATGCGAAACCTCCACGAAACATCCACGCCTCGCGCGAGGTAACTTTATTCCGATTCTAAAAATAACTCGAGACGAATTACCTATGGAATAGGGTGTATATGGGGGATGCCCTCTCTGTCCCCTTTATAGTCTCTTGCCTGTACCTAAAATTTTTACTCCACTTTCAGAGTTAAATTAATTCGAAAAAGAGTAAAAACAACCCATGTAGGGAGTAAAAATCACCCCATTTTGGCAGTTATTTTAACTCCAGATTGGGAGTAAAAAAAACTCTTTTTTAGCAGGAGTAAAAATGACCCCAAATTTGGAGTTAAATTAGGAGTTAAAGTAACCCTAAAAAAGGGGTTATCCTGTAACTCCAAAAATGGAGTAAAAATTTTAGGTATAATAACTCCCTAACAATTACGGTGCGCTAACAGATAGTTTCGTGGCTCAAATGAAGTACAGACTTTGACGAAAATGAACTCTCACCAATTTATATCACGAACTCTGGTTTAATTATAATTAAGGACACCTACTCGGGTGTCTACTATATGTTTACCACTAATAAGTGGCATCGAGTTTTGCAATTGTGATGTAAAATTTCAGATAAAATTCTTGGAATTTGGCTTGTTCAAGACCTCATAGAGTGTGACATCAAGACCCTTAAAGGAGAGTGTGGATGGGGTGGGGTGGGTGGGGAAAGGGTCATGTGTCAGTTGTCAGTTAAATCTTAGGCCATTTGTCAGTTGTCAGTTCGAATTCCATCCAGATCCTCTTAAAGTATAAGGAAGTTTTTACAGTGCAGCCATACTCTCGTCCAACTGTGTGTCTGTCGGGCTTCCCGACGTGTGTTCTTCTCCATCCATTGAATCACTTTCCTTTTTTTTCAGTATAGCTTTTGCCTAAAAAAAATCAGTGAAATATGTCCAGGAATATGTCAATTTAATAAATGTGGTAAGAGAAGTTTTTCTTTTTCATTAATTAGATATGTATGCGCGATTGGTTCTTTCCCAAGGTTCCTACTAACTGATTATGTGAAATAATTCTTTACAAATTTGAGTTGAATATAAAATTAGCGTTGTGTATTTCATAAATGAGAGAGGAATTGTCAAGTATTTGCTTTTAGATAACCCATTTGAGTCTCATTTAGTTTTTTACAAGCCAATGAACTATTAGAAATGAAAATATTCAGAGCACATATAACTTGCATAGGTTGTCTATCTCATATGGCATGTAGCAACCTCTCGGTTTTTTTCGTAGCTTCTACAAATGGCAAAATATTTCCAAACCTTTTTCAAGACTTTCTCCACCCATCCTGGTTTGCCTTCGGTTCTAATTAATTCGGTGTCTCCCTTATCATCTGTCTTGGCTGCTTCGCCTTCGCTTTCCTCATCAGCATTATCATCCTCCGAGTCTGGCTTAGCCTTTGGCTTTGTCCCAGGTTTTTCCTGCGAACCGAGCCAAATAGTATTGAAATCATTGTACAGCTGAAAATAAGGTGACACCTACCACTACAATTATTTGATTGGCTTCCTTATTGAAGGTTCTCAATGGGGTTAACCATCAGCCGTCAAACGGTCTAAAATTTAACCGTCAACCGTCAGAAAATGGTATTTAATATAAAAAAATATATCACCTTTATCACAACTGGCTTGCTGAAGTTTCCGCTTTCAAGTTCGTCCTGGAAATCGTCATCACTAACACTACTGCTGTCAGATTCTACTGTCTAGTTGGAAGTTTAGACGCATCAAAATAAAACAGGATGATCATTAATGAAATATTAAATAACCTTCTTGGAAAAGAAAAAATAGCGGGAGTAAATAACGGGAGTTGACATTAACAGAACGTACTTTTCTTGGTAAATCTTAAATAACCAGCCGACCCCCATTAGGGAGGGATGCAACCTGTTGCAAAAACACTTGAGAAATCTTGCCTTATTTTGTGCTTGCTAATCCCCCCACCCTCCTCCCTTTGTAAAAGCTGCCAGAAACACAAGACCATGGTCAAAACTTGAAGGAGCAACTTTGAGTAGGGGTGAGGGGTGGGGTGAGTGTTAACAAAGACGTGTGACTATCCGCAAAAACGTGAAAAATAACGAATTATTGTCAAAGGTACTTTATCTATGGAAGGGATATATGAGCGCCCAAAGGACGTGGACACACTACCTCTTCAAAGCTCTCGTTGTCGTCGAAAGTTTCCTCTGCGACTGCAAGTCGTTTTGCCTTTGTTGTGCTTTCTCCTAAAACATAAATTACGTGTTTAAGTTAGTAGAAGAGGTTAAAGATACTCTAAACCTTCACCATTAAATGTGGTTGTAACAACATACCTTGGCATTCTACGTGTGAAGCAAGAAGAAACGACAGCAAAACAAATGCAATATTCATTGCTTCGAGATCACTTCAAAGACAAAATGAGGTTTTTCCTGACCAATAACTGCAACGTAAAGATGCAAGTGTTAGAAGCGAATTTATGATCTGGATAGGGAAAGCAAGTTACTGTCAAATATTTAGGATTCCGTTTCTGTACGTTTTGGGTACCTCGCAATATTGTCCAGTTTGTCAGAGGTAGACTTTGGGTCAAAGGGTTTGTTTTGAAAACTGGCATTTTTTTTACAAAACACAAGGGTTAACGTTAAGCTTAGTTTGCATAAGCACTGCAGTGGTCGAGCACAAGTAGTTTTTTTTCCGTTCTCTTTTAACCCCCAAAAAACTGTACTTTATATCTTATACAGGAATGAAAATAAATGGTCTGCAATATAAGAATAAGTGGCACAACTTGTAAAAAGAAAAGACAATGAAAATCCACTTCAAAAAGGTGCTCTTGGTTGCCCGATGAATACCTGTACATGAAAAAAAATCCCTTAGACGATTTTTAAAGGAATATCAGGCTTTCGTAAATGAACCTTTTCACAGGGGAAGAGGAAGAGGGTAAGTGAGGCCTATTAAACCCGCAAAACCGCCAAACTTAGCGGTAAAAATCAACGAACAGAAATACTCACATTGGTGGTCAAAAAAGAGCAAATTTATTCTGAATTTTTTTGTGAAGTTGTGGTAGTCCTTGTACTTATTTTGTAGCCGTGAATTGCACCTTTTCATGAATAGTCTAACACATGAATTAATTATAGAAAATATATATTCATATAATGTGATATACAGAAACTTCTAAAATCTTCCTTATTTACTGACAAAGGAAAAAAAGAAAATATAAAAAAAAAAAAGGAGAAAGAGACGACCTTTACAAAGAAAAAAAGCGATACCTAAAATAGACATGCACTTCATTTACATTTACCGCGTACAGCCTACCCCTCACATTTCAGGATTATTGGCTACCAAGAACACAAAATCACTGATTTCAAGGGCAATAAAGGTAAAAGTGATCTCAACTCTGGCTTGAAACACAGAACCAAACAAAGGCACTCATTCGTCCAACAAATGCCTCATACCAACCTTATTAGCACTTCTCCAGAACTTAGAGATCTGATCCTTTTGTCTTGACGTTCATCTAGTCATGGAGAAGTTCATCCTTGTACATTGATTATATTGATTATTAGGAATTCGTGCCTCCTGCTGATTGGCTCTTTTTCAGTAGAAAAGGCGGTTACCAGGTGTGACAAACCATTTGAATAGGCCAACATGTTAAGTTGACCTCATTATGACATTTCCAAAGAGCTACTATCACTGGACAAGTTAACAATTTAACAGGCACATGTAATTAAAGCCACTTCAATTTCTTTTTAAAAAAGGAACAACTTCAGTAATTTTCTGATGTTGACTCCTGATAGAACTGTAATAAACGTTGCAGCAATTTAAAATCGATAAAAATATATAAAAGCAAATGAAAGACTTTTATCTATGACTATCCAAATGATTCTCTACGTTAAGGGAAACCAGTTTTACGCTAACGTTTAAGAATTTCTTGAAAATTGCCCTTAGTATTTGCAAAATATTTTCAACTGTCTGAACTGTTTTCATCTTGTCTTTTTTTTTCAACAGCCATATTTACAGGTTGATAATTACTTGTGCCTGTTAAAGGCAAACTGGAAATGTCAGAGGCAATCACTAAAGCCTGTGGATCTATTTAAATGGTTCATCACATCTTATTGTTGGCTTCCACATGACGTCACTAAAATTCAAACTACAAAACTATCGATTCTACTGAGATTTTACTTTTGTAGTGTATTAGAGCAGCTGAAAATTAATTTTCAAACAAATTTTCGCTTCAAAAGGGTTCTTGGTTTTGTAATAGAGTACGCTTGAATTTCTAAGCTATTGCGTGACGCAGCACTTACATGACTGTCGAGAGAGCAGTCATTTAGGTTAAAAAAGTGACTTTTTCGAGGAATTTTGCTATCTAAACAGTTCAAGTGTTAGAAAAAGTATTACTTTAATGCTTATGAGTTCCTCTAGGAGTAAATTCACGCTTTCGTAGCAAAACTCTGTACCAGATGTTTCTGTGGTTTCCGTCCGCCATGTTGGAGCTCATCCAGATGAGCTCCAGCATGGCGTCGCCATACAAAGCCCTATAAATTTGGGTAAAATATTTCCTCGGATATCGCGTATACGAATAATTCCTTTGACCCAAATCTTGGCGAGGGTCTTTGTATATTCACCTCCTTTCATTTTCCAGATTCTGGACTTTATCTGTCGAATGGTTTTGATTTTTAATTTTGATCTATTTTGGATGGCGTGTCACTGAAAACCAGCAATATTACTTCTTCTGTCACTTTTTCAGTGATGGTATTTGAAATTTGAATCCTTTTTTTAAATAAAAACAGAAAAAAAGCATAAAGCTTTCTTACTTAATGAATCGAGAAAGTACTGGAGTTAATACAATCAACATATAAAAATATTAAATTGAAAACTAAAGAAAATTTCCTTTTGAAAAATGACCTAAAGATTTGAGAATTCTCAAGTGAAAATCCAATCTGTAATGAAAATACTTAGTTCAATTTATTGTTAAGATGGTGAATTAGGTTTGCTTTTATCGGATTTTGAAATTGCTATCTTTGCAAATGTTATCTTGAAAAAATTGATTCATGAGCAAAACTTTGCTGGGATTTGCATTGTTTTTATTTCCTACTCTTCTTATTTTTCAACAGGGGTTTGCGTTTTGTTAATTACATGTACCTGTAAAATTGTTTACTTTAATTTCCATTGATGGTGGAAAACTGAAAATGTCAGAGGCAACTGTTCCAATAGTTTGCTCCGCCTCACTGCCTCTTCCAAAGGCATAATATAAACCATTTCTTAGAAACAAAATAATAAATTAAGAGAAAAAAATGTAATCTATCCAGTAATTTTTGTTTTGCTGTTTAATGATGGGGAACAATACATTATAATAATAAAATATCTGATCAAATACCAAAAGATTTTCTACGAAAGTAATATATCTAATCGATTATCTAAGTTGTAAAAAAATATCGTTAATTTAAGAATATTTGTGGAAAAAAGTGGCTTAATAATTTCGTTAGAATAGTTTCAAAAGTTTGCATGGAAATTTCAGTCAAAATAAAACCGTTAATATATGTTTGCAACGTAAGAAACTAATAAAGTAAACAAACATACCCTAGTTTTATTTATTGTTTTGATAGTGAGGTAATTTTATCGGTTTTTGTTGTATTTATTGTTGTAAAGATTACTATTTATTTTTTAAGCTTTAACTCAATTTAACATTTAAGCCGTTGTATAAGCAAAACTTTACTAGAACTTTCAACGCTATTTCTATTTTATAGGTTTTTTTAAACTTAGGACAAAACAAAATGAAAAGAAAAGCTGTTTATAATGTAACATCTCCAGTATTATAATAGAGAGCTTTTGAATTTTGACGCTGATTTTATTTTATTTTTTCTTATACTTAAAAAAACAAAAATAAGAATAGGGCCATTTATACGAGGAAAAATAAGACGCGTCTTAAATAAGACGCGAACTATACCATTTACACGAGCATGTCTTATCTAATACTAACCCGCGTCTTACTTTAGACGAAATGTGCCGTTTATACGGAAAGTTCGCGTCTCATTTAAGACGCGTCTTATGTAAGACGCGTCTTATTTTTCCTCGTATAAATGGCCCTAATAAGACAGAATAAAAAATAAAACAGCTGCTTGCAATGTAAAATCTCCAGAAATAATAACAATCTATATTTCTTACCACAGTATAAGTAAAATATGATGGTAGTAAAATATACACTGTAGCGAACATTCAGTAGAACCCAGGTACCTCCAACAAGATTAAACAGAAAGAATAGCAAAGGTAAAATAACCCAACAAGGGAGAAGTTCACCTTTTTAAAAAATGCATAATAGTATATTTTATTAGAATGAGGATTATTTTGTGTGTTTGAAATCTGGAAATACAATACAATTACATACTATTGTCGTTTAATAAACTGCATCAAATTATTCTTTTCTCTAAACGTCAAGGGCAGCCAGAGAAAACCCTGCTCTAGCTATAGCCAAATGTTTGATGCTAAAGACAGTTCGATGAACGGTACATGAAATGCGTGTAAAGTTACAGCCAAAAGCATCATGATAAAATATTTTTAATTGGAGAATAATACATTCAAAAATATTTTCAGCCTAAAGTCGCCGGGAAATGAGAATATTTATCCTGGAATGGAAAAACATTATTCTTATTAAAAGAACATTTTGATTATGAACTTTATGTGGAAGAGGCAAATAGACCTGACAGGACCATTTGAATAGGCCAACGTGTTTAGTTGTCCCGGCCCAATATGCCACCATGAACTGAATTGACAGGTTGACAATTTTCTGCAAGAACAAGTAATTCACACCATGCATGTAAATCTAATTCTGCGTTTAAAATAATAAACAGAATTTTTAAAAAGATTGTTTCTCCAAGCAGGCCACCTCAGTAACTTGACTGGTTAAATGCGTTTTTAAAACTGATCAACATTGATCAGCATGTAGGATTTCCATATATTCATAATTTCATGATCAACATTGTAGCGGGGAGAAGAACTAAATATAAAGATATTCAATACAATTGTCCAGTTACTAATAACACGTTGTCGCCTGCCTGCATGTTCAAGCTTTAATTGACGTTTTGTTTATGGCAATTTAAAAGCTGTCCTTTTGAAAAACAATAATTACTTAATAGCCAGCAGTTTTCAGCTCTCCATGTATAAATTCTTGAGCGTTTCATACTACCCTTTTCAAGCTCAAACAAGTTCATATATTTCGCACTTACTCATGACAGAGAATTTGTTTTCAGTCACAAAATGAGGACAGTGTATCACTTAGAAATTACTACTTCTTATCATAAATTATAAACCAAAAGTTTGTAACTGTGTTGCATAGTAAGGAACGATGATTTCCAGTTGGCCTCAACGAAAGTTGAAGTAAAGAGAGAAAAATTTAATAACAGCTGTCATCATTGTAAACAGGTAGTATTTATTACCTTTCCTCTTCTTTTTCTTTTTGTTTTTTCGTTTTTATCGAAATCAAAAACTCTTCTCAATCTTTCAAACTAAAGTTTTGTCCAGGCATTCACCGAACTTAGAACTGTTATCCCTGTCGCACTGTAAAGTGTGGTCATAAAACTTCACTTGTAAAACAACACGGGTAGAAATCTCAACAAGACTAGCTATTCATTAATTCCTGATATTCACAGTTCGGTAATTTTTGCCCCGTCCCTAATGGTAGGAAGGGGCCGGAAGAAAACCTCGCTCTTCTTTTTCTTCCCATCACTCCTAACTCCCGCCCTATGATCGTTCCTACCGTACCCCACTAGCACTCCGCACATCCTGGTTACAGCCTTCTGTTCAAGCCGCGTGATACGTAAATGGAGAGTGAAAATAACAAGATTCAAAGCAATGAAACCAGCGGAAAAAAAGCAAATAGTAAATTGTAGTCGAGGAGTGCGTCCTTTAGCGTTGCCCCGTAAGATATCACATGGCCATCTCTTTCCATTTTGTAATAAAGAGCCACTGGAAAGCAGGCCGCTATGAATAAGAACAATGTTGATAGCAACAAAAAGGTTCTGACGTTCTTTGTTAACAAGGTGACTTTAAAAGGGTCACAGTAGCGACGAACCTGTCCATGGCTATTAACTGACTGAGAAACACTTTTCGTAAAAGCTCCAATTTCGCCAAAAGGCCTCCAAAAAGGCTTCCACGGTTTGATATTATCGCGTCAGTGAGGAACAAGGGCCATGTGGTGAGACACCAAAGAAAGTCAGATACCGCCATGTTGGTGTAGTAGTAGTTTGTCAAGGTGCTTGTTCTAAGAACAGGAAATTTTTTACTTACATCATCTAAATCACGAGAATGTTCCCAATAACAGCCATTAAGATAATTATTGCCAAGATTGCTGCGAAGAATACGGATATGGCGTGATGGACCTGAGAACACATAACCGAAATCAGTGCGAAACTAGAGTTGGAAATGTTCATTCCGAACGACGTCTGCAAACGTTTTTCTTGAGGTGCCCGCTCTCTTGATTTGACCTAGCAATAAATTTGAAATGTGAACACTGTAGATAA